ATGGTATAGCCGGCGGCGGGGGTCAGCTGTAGTTATTTTAAGAGGTGAGTCCAGGTGCAGGAAGGGTCCAGTCAGGATGATAATAATCCCAACCAACGCCCACAACCGGGCCGTGGTGGGAAAAGGGGAGGGGGAGGGGGGAGACGGACTGGGGCGATAGGCCAATCATAGCCCAGCTCTTCCCAACCCCTCCAGTCTCCACAGATCTTCTAATCCCCCACCCTAAGTCCAAAGGTCTTCAGGAGGGTCACCAATCAGGCAGCTCCAAGTCAGTCTGCTAGTACTCCCCCTTCCACAGCTGACAATAGACCAGTTGGAGGTCTAAGTTCGGGAAGTTCCACCAGGGTCATGCCATTCCCCTCGGCGTCGCCACAGCAGCCGCCATTTCACTCCCGCCACCGCAGCCGCGCCCAACGTCGCCGCCGCTACTGGCCGCCGCTGCTGGCAGCTCCGAGCTTTTTTCGGGGGGGCGTCCAGCGGCGCTCCTACATGCCGCCATCACCCTCACACACACCCCACCCCGCCCAGTTGCCGCTGGGGGGACGCCAAGGCAAAGGGCGCCGCCCCAATCAATTCCGAGCCTCCTGTCTGCGCCGCCATAGCCTCGCGGCGCTCCACAGCTCCAGACAGCCTCACGAGCAGCTCGAAAGAGTCCAAAAAGCTTGCTGCAGGCTGTCCTTGTGTTCAACTTGCTGGGCCAGGGCCGTTAGTTGGAAATTCGGCCCTCCAGGAATCCATGGTAGCACCTACATTGCCCCCAGACATCGGAGCTTCACCCGCGAGCCGCCATCTTCGAGCATGCGCAGAGAGTTTTTTATAAATATGGCAAAAAGAAAATATAGAAATTGTAAATTTAATTGAAATGACTAAACACTGGTTAAATTTGTGAACCGGCCAAATACTCTGTTCAAAGAAAATACATTGTATGTTTGTATGTGTGTTTCTAATTATTGCTATTTATTCATGTTTGTTCTCTTTTATTCTTTAAAGTTTAACAATTCATTCTTTATCTTAATATCTTTATATTTGTTTGGGGTTGGTTTTCTTCCCTTTCATCTTTTTTATTGTACAGCAATCTTTCTCCTCAAACCTACCACCTCTCTCTTTTCTTTCCTTCTTACTTTCTCTTCCCCCCTTCTTCTCCTTCCTACTTCCTCTTCCTTTCTCCTTCTCCTCCTCTCTTCCTCCCTTTCTTACCCTCACTCCTACTCTAATTTCCCTTCCCTTCCTTCATCCCTCTCTATTGCTGTATCCTTTTATGCATATGGACTACTCAGAGGGCTGAAAAAGTTATTTTTGACTGGTCCTCGCACTTTTGACCAGTCCTCGAACTTACGACTGTCCTCACATTTTACGTTTTTGCCCTATCTTGTCACCATGGTGAAGAGAAGCAGTTGTGAAATGAGTGACATGGTTGTTAAGAATGCTTCAATGGGCATGATGACCAGTCATAAGTGCGAAGACCGGTCAAAAGTGCGAGGACCTATCAGAATCACTTTTTTCAGCCCTCTGGGTAGACCTTTTATGCACAGGGACTACTCAGAGGGCTGAAAAAATTATTTTTGACTGGTCCTCGCACTTTTGACCAGTCCTCGAATTTACGACTGTCCTCACATTTACGTTTTTTGCCCTATCTTATCACCATGGTGAAGAGAAGCAGTTGTGAAATGAGTGACATGGTTGTTAAGAATGCTGCACGGGCATAAATGTGAGGATGGTCATAAGTGTGAGGACCAGTCAAAAGTGCGAGGATCTGTCAGAAATGACTTTTTTCAGCCCTCTGAGTAGTCCCTATACACATAGCCACGGCCACCCGGTCACATGACCAGCTAGCCACGCCCACCCAGTCACATGACCTCCAAGCCACACCCACAAAATAAGCCACGCCCACAGAACCGATAGTAAAAAAATTTAGAACCCACCCCTGGTTGGGGGTCACCACAACATGAGGAACTGTATTAATGGGTCGCAGCATTAGGAAGGTTGAGAACCACTGGTATAAGGGAACAAAAGCATAGGGGTACTTTAGAAGACACTACATACGAGAGGCTTTGTTATTAAATTGGGAGAAGATTAAAAAACATTATTTGAAAATTCCAATCTGGGTATCAACGATTGAAGCATTTTCACATTTAACAACATTTAGAAGGGAACAAATTGTTAGATATAGTGAATTATTGGATGAAAAGGGTGAACTTAAATTGAAGCAAGAACTGGAAGAACAAGGTTTAAAGATAAATTGGTTTTCTTATTTGCAAATACATTCTAGATATGATGAAGATTGTAAGAAAGAAGATCTTTACAACACTTTGACTAATTTAGATAAAATCTTAATAGGTTCTGATGAATACGTAATTAAAAAATTGTATGGTTATTTATTAGAGGTAAAATTAGAAGAAGAACAAGTTAAAGAAACAATGATTGCATGGGGGGGAAATTTTGGTTATGGAATTGATTTAGGGAAATGGCAAAAATTGTTGTTGCAAAATTATAAAATGACAATGTCAACAGCATATAAGGAAAACTTGTATAAGATGTTTTACAGGTGGCATTTACCCCCAACGAGAATAGTCAAAATGTTCAAGAATAAATCTGAAATGTGTTGGAAATGTCATCAGACACCAGGCTCATATTACCATATGGGGTGGACATGTGTAGAAGCTAAAAGATACTGGACTAAAATCCACACATGGTTGGAAAAAATGATTAAAAAAAACATAGACTTTAAACCAGAGATTTTTTTATTAGGAATTATACCAGAAACATAGAGAATTGAGATATTTGATTGTGAATGTATTGACAGCGGCTAGAATTGTGTTTGCTAAAAACTGGAAAAATGAGAAAATGCCAATGCAAGATGAAGTTATTAAGAAAGTCATGGAATGTGCTGAAATGAGTAAATTGACATTTGAAATTAGAGAACAAGAAGATAAACAATATTATAAGATATGGGATTTATTTTACCAATGGCTAGATCAGTGATAGCTAACCTTTTTGCCATCATGTGCCAAAAGCTGGGGTAGTGTGGGGTGGTTGCACGGGCGTATGCCCACACTCATAATTCTATGTGCCCTGCCTCCCCACGCATGTGCGCGCAACCCCCCCCCCATGTTCCCTCCGCTTTTGACATGTGATGGCCTAGTGGGCCCGGTAGGCCCGTTTTTTGCCCTTCCCAGGCTCGAGGCTTTCTAGGAGTCTGGGGAGGGCAAAAACAGCCTTCCCCACCACTCCGGAGGCCGGAAACACGTCCAGTGGGCCCAGAAGACCCAAAGCACAAGGGTGCTGAAGCTGAGCTAAGGCAACACCTTAGCGTGCCCACTAATATGGCCATAGATTCGCCATCACGGGGCTAGATAATAAAACATGGAAATGAAATATGAAATATAAAATGAATGTTAGAATATAATATGTGAAAATATTTTTTTTTGGAATAATGCCATTGTTGAATAAATTATAAATGAGAATAATGATATAAAGATATATATCAGGTTGATTATATGAGAAATTGGATAATTAGTAAAATATGATTATGGGGAAGAAGCACAAGGGATTTGTAACCGATCAACACACTGCTTAAAATTGTAATGGATGAAGGATGTTTTATGTTTTGTTTGTTTAAAAAATAAAAAAAAATGTTAAAAAAAAAGGGGAGAGATCTACCTTGTGCTTCTGGAAGAGAAGTGCAAGATAAACAGATTTTTCTCTTTAAAAAAAAGTAGCTTGTAATGACAAATATGGCTAATTGTGGGAAAAAATACTATAGGTAGTCCTCGGTTTATGACCATAATTAAGCCTAAATTGTAATCATAATTCAAGTTGGTTAAGTGGGTCATCACACCCATTTAACGACCTTTTTGTAGTAATTAAGAAATGTCATAGTAGTTAAGCAAACCAATTGTACCTAATGGGCATTTTTTGAAGGAAACCAGAAGTGAATGCCAGTTTGCAGCCAAAAATGTCATGACTCATAGTCACATGACCATGGGAAACTGCAAACGGCCATAAATGCGAGTTGGCTGCCAAGCACCCAATATGCAAGGAAGGGAAGAGGTGGCAGCCATCAGAACTTCAACTGTCCAAAGCAGAGGACTATTTGTACACAAGTCCAGGTTAATAAGATTTTTAAATCGTTATTCTAAGACTGATGCACCATCTGCATATAAAAGGAGGTAATTAATGCCTTTTCTACTCATGCAACTTTAAAGGAGGGTCTTAAAAACGTATCTTCTGTTTAGTAACAGAAATAATTCATAAACAAATTAGTCACTGGAAAGTTTCTGCAAGCAGCAAAGTACTAAAAAATGTGGACCACAAAGAACATTAATACACCAGGAGATATGTTACAAAAGAAAAACTTAAAACGTCTACATGAAAAATCACTTCAATTTTCATAATTTATTCATACAATCAGCTGCACAATTACAGATGAACATATAACATGAGAACCAGACCACAATTTCCAGGAAACAATGAACCGGCATCTTCGGAAACAAGATAAGGGTGGAAAGAGCACGAAGGTCGCTTCGAGCACTATCCTACCATTTACCTCAAAAGACAGGAAGCGAGGACTCTTCGGACACCCGCCTCCCCCTGTCAATGAGGCTAGGAAAGAAGGACGGGAGTGTCCCATCTGCCAGAAAACGTCGCCCCGCCTCGCCAAATCACCCGTGACAACCCACACAGAAACCTCTGTTCGAGACCGCTACTTCTGGTATCTCTGTGCGCTTCTTGCTCAGCTAACGCAACTAGCGTCACCGGAACGTTCACGGGATAGGATACGTTTTAGCGAAGGAAGTTATTCACAGAGAACGGTTACACCAAGGCCACCACTCTAATGGTGGCTGTTTCCGAAATCATCGCAGGAGACGTGCGTGACGTTCTCAGAAGGCATTTCCGCAAACTCCGTCGGCTACTATAAACCGGCGGGTCAAAAGAATCCCTCGGCATTTTGCCCCCTCCCCTATCTGCCTTTCCTTCGTTAGAACTACAGCTCGACTTACCGGCCGACGAAGTTCTCGAGGACCGAGCTCTTCCCTGCGCTCTGACCACCCACCACAGCGATTTGTGGCAGGTCGAGGTGGCAGCTTTGTCCAATAGAGCTGAAAGCATCCTGTAGCTTGTTCACCAGCGGAATCAACTCTTCCATTCCTCGGTTGCCCATAGCAACGACCTGGGGGGGGTAAATCCCCCCACACTCCACAGCTTCCTTTCACAGCCCCAGGCAACAACCCACAAACTTCCCCTTTGGATTCTTCTCATCCGGCCTCAGCGACGCCCGTTTGCTCCTCGGCCCGCCCTAAATCTGTCAATCACTATTACTATTGCTAATAGAAACTGTCATTTCCCGTTCAAAGCCAATAGTAAAGGAGAATTTAGCAGGCTCCCATAACGATAGGATGGCATTTATCAATTATGTCTGTTTCCAGTCAGCATTCTAATAGGACAAATTATGTGTCATTCGGCAGACTCTCGGTTCAAACAGCCAATAGCAGCTTTAAGAGCACAATGTGTATAGTATAATCCTCCCTTAGTATAACCCTGCCCTCGCCCTTTGGCCTCTTTATGTTTTTTTTAATTTGGTAAGCGACCTATCCATCTCTTTAAAACAACGAATCATCAAAACAAGAGGCCACCCCACCCTTCAAGTTACTTTCGCTCTTTATTGGACAATATTTCTATCACAAGGAAATGGCCAATCACTTCAGTCCGATTTACTTTTCACAGAGTATTTAGCTGAAACGACTGGTGATGCATTCTATTTTATTGCGCCTTATATTACATATTATTGCCATTCGATCCGATACCAAACTTTATTTCCTCATGGGAAACATTGGTTGATTGCACTGGTAAGACCATACTCGCAGTTTTGGTCGCCAGTATTCTAAAAAGAATTCTGTATTCTTTAGTATTTTCTGCACGAAAAGGACAACAAACATGATTGGGGACTGGAGGGTAAACTACAACGAACGGTTGTGGGAACTGGGTATGTGTAGTCTAACGAAGAGAAAAACGGGTAACTTAAGTCTTCCAATATTTGAGGAGCTGTCAGAGGAGGGAGTCAACTTTTTCTTCAGAAGGCAAGAAAAGAAGCATCATATGAAAACTTAATAAAGAGAGGTACCCAGTTGCAAGGGAATTAGTATTTGTTGGAAGAAACTAAAAGATAACAATCCTGTTATAGTGAAATGAAAGTTATATGTCAGGAGCAACATAAAAGTAAACACAGGTAGAATGGGTACTTTAAAATGTGAACTTATTTGTGTGGTGTGAAACTAACTACTCATTGGTCAAGCAAACTTTTTTTTTAAGTACTGTTAGAAGAAATATCCTTCTGGGTTCAGCTCCAAGTTGGGAAAAAGACACTGGAAACATAGAGACTGCTTGGAAAGATGGTTTAATGGTGGACAGGATCACATGGTTTGAGTTCCTGAACAGAAAAGGGGTGAGACGCAGTGAGTCCCCGGGTTTTATGCCCTCTCTGGCTTTGAACTTCCTGGGGCCCAGAAAGAGTATCCTGATTGGTTGTCAGACTCCCAGGAGGTGGGGGTCTTAGCTAGCCTTGCTGGCTGATGTAATCTTCCCAGGTGCCATGTGGTGAGTTTCTGTTGCTAGATGGGTCCTATTGTGTTAGTTTCTGTTGCTAGATGGGTCCTATTGTGTTGCAGATGATGATCCATTGACAAAGATTGAGTTTCTGCCTCTGGCCCATTGACAAAGGGTGGGGGCAGGAAGATGGGAGCTGCTTCATCTTTAAAATATGCTTCTCCATTTCTCATCCAGGGAAACATAATATTCTGCCTTTTTAATATTTCCTAAAATATTTCATTCTTCTAGGAAAGGGGTAGGTGCTAATTTCCTACAGTACAAAGTAAATGTCTAGATATTTTCTCCTTACTCCTTACATAGTAAACTCTTAATTGCTGTAATATGTACAAAACAGCCTGTACTGCTCTACTGCAATCTAGGTGTTATTTACAACTTACATAGTAAACTCTAATTAGTTAACCAATATGTATACACCAATTTGTGCTGCTCTAATGCAACCTGTAAATACACATAGATTTTAGATATATTGTAACTCAAAAATATCGATACCTAATATTTTTCCCTCCTATTTTATTGTATTTCTACAATAAAACATCCTTTGAGGTTGATTGAGTTGAGAGAGAATGACTGGACCCAAATTCAGCAGCTTTCATGCCTAAGTCAGAGCTAAAAATCACAGCCTCCTGGATTCTAGATCATACCTTAGCCCTGTGATGGCAAACCTATGGCACGTGTGCCCAAAGTGGCTCACAAAGCCATGTCGCCCGGCATGCGCGGCCTTGCCTGTTTGTCTTCTGGGTTTCTGGCATGCAGACGTGCATCAGATCAGCTGTCCTTCACATGCGTGGTAGTGCCAAAAATCAGAGTGCGCATGCATGTCGGCCAGCTGATCGTCGGGCATGCATGCACGCTAGAACCCGGAAGTTTGGCTTTTCCAGAGCGCAGCCCCAATGAGCACACATGCGTGCGCAACGTTTCCACACAACCTTTTAGGCACTCTGCACTCGGTGCCGAAAAGGTTCGCCATCACTGCCTTAGCCACTACAGGTAAGTAGTGACTTGACTTACAACCACTATTGGACCCAAAATTTCTGTTAAGTGAGACATTGGTTAACTGAGTTATGTCCCATTTTACGACTTTTCTTGCCTCAGTTATTAAGTGAATCACTGCAATTGAAGTTAATAACCCAGTTGTTAAGTGAATCTGGCTTCCCCATTGACTTTGTCAGAAGGTCGCTAAAGGGGATCACATTACCCCAGGACACAGCAACAACGATCATAAATATGAACCAATTGCCAAGTGTTTGAATTTTGATCACGTGACCATGGGTAAGTTGCAATGGTCATAAGTCTGAAAAACGGTCATAAATCACTTTTTTCAGTGCTGTTGTAACTTTGAATAGTCACTAAATTAACTGTTGTAAGTCGAGGACTACCTGTGTCAGTATTCCAAGTAACGCAGAACTCTGTGGCAGATAGATTCCTCAAAGAACATGCTTATTGGATACATCATATTGGCACAGCTAGTGAAAACCAACTCTAAAAGTTCCCCTGGTTTTAGCCTAATTAAAAGAACAAATGGTTCCCTCCCCAGATTTCACCAGTCACATCCAATGTAAGTAGCTGGCAGGCCGCTTGGTCACTTCTCTCTTCCTTCAACTGCCACCTGTTAGGATGACCTTGGTTCCCACAATAAAATGTTTTGTTTTGACTGTTAGCCAGTCTATCTACTGGCTTTCCATGAGTTCAGAACTCTGAACCTTTCAGAGTTCATGGCAACTATGAGGCAGCAAAAGATGGCTTCAGCCAGGTTTGCTTCAGAGTTGACAGTCGGACCTCCCCCCTTAACTCAAGAGAAGTTCCTGGAAAATTCAAACAGAAAATAAGTCTTCCATCAGCCACCCCTCCCACCCCTAATCAATCTTAGTCAATCTATCTGCTTTTACATCTGAACTTTTTACCCAGGTGGTCTCCGACAATGGATATCCCTTCCATTGCACTAGGTATTGTAGTGTCTTCTTGTACAGCGGAAACTAGTCCCATTTTAGGCTTTAAAAATGGCTGAATGACCAGTCACTCTTTTCCAGCCACTTCTTAGATTGTTGGTTGTGGGGAAACTAAGAGGAGGAAGGAATATTAAATAAATTCTGCACCTTGAGTTTATTGTGGCTATTCTACCCATCATAGAAAGTTGCAAGCTTTTCCATCTCTCCATATCCAGCTTAATTTGATGCATTAATTTTATATAATTGTCCTCCTTAATTGTACATCTTGCTGTTAGATAGATTCCTACGTATTTCACTTTTTTCACTATCTGGATATCCATTTTCTTTATTAATTCATCCTTATGTATGTTTGTAAGATTTTAACTATCATTTTGGTTTTTTCCTTATTTATTTTTAATAACCTCTCCATATTACTCTAATATCTCTATGAGTCTTGGGCAGAGGTGAAATGCTCCCAGTTCGGACTGGATCACCCGATCTGGTAGTGATGGCGGCGGGTAGTTCGGAGAACCGGTAGCAAAAATCCCTGCCCCCCCCCCCATGCCCAGCTGAGGCGCACGATCATCAGAGGCTGTTTTTTTACTTTTAAAAGCATTTTTTCTACCTCTTTGGCCAAATAAATGCTTTTAAAAGTAAAAAAAAAAAGTCTCTGATAATCGCGCGGCTCAGCTGGGATCGTCAGAGGCTTTTAAAAGCATTTTTTTCTGCAATCTCTTCTGCTGAAGAGGTTGTAGGGGGGGAAATGCCTTTAAAAGCCTCTGGCGATCCCAGCTGAGTTGCCTGATCGTCAGAAGCTTCTAAAAGCATTTTTTTCTGCAACCTCTCCATGTTGTAGAAAAAATGCTTTTAAAAGGAAAAAAAAAAAAGTTGGCCACACCCACCCAGTCACATTACCCCCTCCCCCACCAAGCCACGCCCACAGAACCAGTAGTAACAAATTTTAGATTTTACCCCTGATCTCGGGCCTGATTCTAATGGTTCCTCTAAGATAAAAACTAAATGATCTGCAAATGCTGGTAGTTCATACTTTTTTGATTTCCATTCCTTTGATTTGCTCCTCTTGCCTTATATTTCTGGTTAGTATACAATTATCAAATTATAAAATGGAAGAACAAGAGACGATGTTCTTAAAGAGACGATGATAGTATGGGCCAAAAACTGGATATAGTATAGATTTGGATAAATGGCAAAAGCTTTGGGATAGAAACCGGAAACTGACAATGGCCACATCATATAAGGAAAATCTCTATAAAATGTTCTATAGGTGGCATCTGTCCCCGGCAAGATTGGCTAAAATGTTTAACAATATGTCCCCAAACTGTTGGAAATGTAAACAGATACCAGGCACATAATTAACATGTGGTGGACTTGCATAAAGGCAAGGAAATTTTGGACACAAATCCATACATGGCTAGAAAAAATGATCAGAAACAAATCAGAATTGTTTTATTAGGTATATCAAATGACTATGACAAAGGGACAATATATCTAATATTACATATCTTGACTGCAGCAAGAATTGTATATGTGCAGCAGTGGAAGAATGCAAACACCTCTTCAGAGGATGAGACGATAAGGAAGATACTAGACTGTGCGGAAATGGACAGACTAACCAGTGGTGAAATCCATTTTTTTTTTTATTACTGGTATGGGTGTGGCTTGGTGGGCATGGTGTGGCTTCGTGGGCATGGCAGGGGAAGGATATTGCAAAAACCCCATTCCCACCCCACTCTGGGGCCAGCCAGAGGTGGTATTTGCCTGT